CACCCACGTCTGTTTCAACCAGTCCAGGACTAAGAAACAAGTACAGTTTCTTCACATGTCTCTATGCAACATGTGCATAGAGGCCTCCTCCTGCTCTCCATCCTGCTGCCTTCCTCTTCAGTCTCTTCTCCCTGCTCAGTTCCACCCTTCCTTGGGTGGGACAGGGAACCAAGAACCTCCTCTTTTCCTGGGACCACCTATTACATTGTGATGAAGGATGAGAGGCCAGGTAAAGTCCATCTTTAGTGTAGAATTCATTGTTGGGAACAGGGGAGGTTGTTGCATGAGTGGGGTTTCCCTGAGAGCTATAGATTTCTCAGGGCTGGCTAGGAGGCAAATTAAATATTTGGGCAATAGCAAATCCTCCAGATTGTGACCTTATACGCTTTCTCTTGGTCTGAGCCCCCAATAGGCAGGAAACGGTCACAGGGCAGTATAAGGAAAATGGAGTAACTCAGGCTCTTTTTCGCCTCCAGCCACTAACCTCTACAGCCACCACCTGAAGCTTTGTTGTCCTCCTTTCATTACCACATGTGATACCATATTATTGTAAGAAAACACTTAGAAGTGTGAGCACAGGGCACATGTACCTATGAATAGGGACTCCCGGGTAGGGAAGATCACAAGGGGGATCATGGAGGCTGGAGGCTGGAAGCTCTGTAGCTACCCATCACCTCCCTGCCTGCTGGTCTGCCTGTGTATCCAGTTCCCTGCTTCAGCATTAAAAGCATGTCAGATATGCCTAAGACTCCAAGATCCCTTTTCCATTTGCCCACATCAACCATGAACCTGTCCAGTCTGGGATGGTTGCTCCTATGGCAGGAAATGGTCAGCTGATCTCTACTGCTCATGTGAATGGCTCTGCCTAGAGTTGAGGCAGAGCCTACACGCCAGTGTCCAAGTAGTATCAACACATTCCCAGAAAGGAAAACAAAACCAACCGGTACTGTTCTTGGTCTGTCCTCCCCTTCAGTGGGTCTGCTGTGGGGCCCAGGGAACAGAATTGATAATAAACTCAGCAGGTGATGGCTATAAAGCTCAGTATGAAGCTGCTGGTCCAGCAGAAGAGAGAGAGAACAAAGAAAGTGGAACAATATGATAGGCTGAATTAAAAGATATGAAAATGCTCTGTGAAAACAGAGGATGTAGCAGGATTGGAAGGTCAAATGGGGTTAATTAGAGGGGTTAATTGAAATTTCTCAATGGAGCTGGATAGAGGGTATAATAGCTATCCTCAGGTCTAATTCTAGAAACCTCTGTTTATCCATTCTCATATCCTCCTCCTGCAGTAAGTGTAATAATGAGTATGTGTTGGTTACTCAAATTCCCATAGCTCTCGGAAATTTCTAGACCATTGATCAAGAGACTTTCTCATTTGCAGAAAGGGATTAATATGTTTCCCTATTCGTTTCTCAGGGTTCTGGTATGAATCAAAGGCAGGAAAGCTTATGAGCATCCTTTGTTGTCTGGCAAGTGATTTATACACATAGAATAATTATTATCACCCTCAGTCAGTGGATCCATTTTCACATTCACACCATCCACATATGTCTGGGTGCTACTTCCCCCAGCAGCTTTGTCACAAAATGTGTGAAAAAGTACAGAGTACATGCACAGTTTTTCTAAACCTCACTTTGGATGGTGCAGCAACTAATAGTCATGCAATAAACTTTTATTAACTAATTAATTGATAAGCTTTTCCAATTACATCAATCTCCCCTGGAGCTGAAATGGACTTGCTTGACATATTCTGGTTCTTACACCATTTCCCCTACTGAATATATGATCTCACAGTAACAAGGAGATATTGATTCTTTTCCTCAAAGAAGATATAAAACCTCCCTGAGTGACACAACCTAAGGTGAATTGCCTGAAATGTCCTTATTGAATATGCGGAGGGCTAGGGGTCCTTGTAAGCCATTGATTTGCTGATCGGATTATCTCCATTGCTTTGTCTCCTATTCTACATGCCCCTCAATGTGGATGGAATAATCAGATTCCTGCGATTGTTTTCTTGAGCTGGGCAAGCTCTTCCTGATGACAGTTGCTGCTGTGGTGTCTTGCCCAACAGTTTCAGAGCAAGCCTGTCACCGGGAAGCCTGTGTGGGATCTCTAGCTGGTTTGCTTGACTTGCTTTGTTTCTTGCTAAGTATCCTCAGAAGGGGGACACACATTGGAAGCCTGCTGTGTGTAATTAAGAGATAATTGTAGTTGTCTCGGCATTTTTGTGCTGCTATACCATTAGCTTATTTGCAAGTGATGCCTGAATGTGGTTAGGATGACGATTTCGAAATGAATAAAGACTGCGTTGTGAAAGATGAAATGTGTGATCCATTTGAAAGGGCACTTTACCTTGCTTTGCTAAAATAGGCTACATTTCAGTTTGGTGTTTTTAAATGAAGCTTGGAGTTTTAAAATTAAGCTGACTCGCTTGGGTTTCTAGGGGTGATCATGACATATTTTGTTCCACTGTATACAATCTTATTTCTTTTTATTCCATGATTCTCCTTCCTCAGAGATGGGTGAGGCCATCCTTGGACAACTGGATATGATGAAATGCATTCTACAGCAGTGAATAATGATTTCCAATGAATTTTGGAGCAAGTCTATTCAATTTCATTACCATTAGCTAGATGAAGAAATTATCTGTTTTATCCTGGGTGTGACTTTTCACTGTTCTACTATATGATGAATGTTAGTGAGTTACTTATGGGAAAAATAATTCTAAAACAATATGCTGAAACTGTTATTCATCATAGTAGAAAAGTGATAAATCAAAGAAGAAAGGCCAAAGTTGGGGGGCTGCTTAGAGTAAAATAAGGCGCATAATTCCTGTTTCATTGTTTTTGCCATTGATTTATATGTCATTTATGTTTGGATTGGGCTCTTTCCAGTACGACTTATAAAAGTCTGTAGCCAATTCTAAAGGATAAGGCTGTGCTATGTAAGCAAATACACACCCCCGATGTGTATTTGGTGAAATTGTGTTATTGTCTAATGGGTCCAGGCAGAGATGTTGCTATAGCTTCACTTAGGCTCTTGACACAAGTAAAGGAATGTGAAAAATTGACACCATACCTGAGGAGAAATTCAGTTTTCATTGAACAGAATTGTATGAACTTGTTATCCCCTAACAGTGCTCATCTGATTAAGATTTGATATCTTTTCAGCTTTTAGAGATGCCTAAAAGAGAGCTAACAGCTCTTACATCTAAAAAGAGAGAGGACTTTATTTGTTCTTTTGCAATAATTATACCCCTTTGCTATGGTAATGGCTACCATAAATAGCATCATCTTAGAATTGTCATGATCAATTATTTATCAAGTCCTCCTTCATTGCTTACATAGATTGTAGAGATTTATAGAGTTGATTAGATACAGCCACTGTTCTCAATAGCTTCTAGTCTAAAGGCAGAGCCAATTCAGAAAATCATAAAAGACACTATTCTCTTGAAACTCAAAATTGCCAGATCATCATACTGTATTTTTGTATCCCGTCAAGAGTCTCCCATTCCAAATGGACTTTCCCAAAAGTCAGCCTCTGAAAGCAGAATTTGCTTGCAGTTACTTTGGGAGGTGATTTCGGGAAGTACAGTGAGAGAATAGGAAATGAAAAAGGAAAGGGGGGAAAGCCAATAGAGTGTGAATTAGCAAGTCGCTGCTGTGGGCAACAGGGGCTCAGTCTGCGGGGACCTGCTGAGCCTGGGTGAAACAATCTCAGAGTTGTCCCTTCTCCCAAAGGGCTGAGGAAACATGGATGCTTCACCAATGCCCTGCCCTGGCATGGTTGAGTGTTGCAAGTGGGGAAATTTAATCCCAGGCACTGTGGGCATCCTCCTCACACAGGCCAGACCTATCCCACAGCAGAGAGAAGCAGGGAGGGGCTTTGTGGGGGGGAGGAGAAGCAGTTTTGCAAGTATAGGAATTCTCCACAGAAGGAGCAGGCAATCTCCATAGCGGTTATGGGGGAGGTGAGTGGGACACTTTTCCACCATGTAAACTTGTAACACCTAGGATTCCAAATATTCTTTTCACCATGTTAAGGCACCATATACTTTGCTTGTACTCAAAATGATACAGAGCAATGTCTAATTTAGTCTTGAATGGCCTATTCCTGACTTTGAATAGCCTAGAAATTAGCACCCATATCTGGAACATTTCTTTTATCACAAGTGTGATACATGGGTAGTTTTACTTATCGTCATTTTTTTTTCCTTACAGGACAATGGGCACTTAAGAAGAGGTTTCCATCTCCTATAAGGAAATTATCTCAAAGTGAAGTCTGTGCTAACCAAATAGCAGATAATTTTGTGTCACCAAGCAATGGTATATTGTGTTTCTGAGGTTATTGTCATGCCCAACAGTTTCAGTCTAATTTGATTTCAAAAGCATGAATCCAATAAAAATCTAGATCTAAGATCGTCTTCATGACAGAGGATAGTCAGTTTCAAGGATTTCCCCCAATTTCTTGAAAGTTAATCTGGATGACTTAGAGCTGTACCACAATTTAAATGGTCAGAGGCAAGATGGAACTAGGCAAAACCAGCAAAAGTCAACATTCTCACACTCTTCTGGAAGCAAATCAGAGGAAAAGAGCTAAAGTAGGTGGACAGGCAAACAAATATGATTATCTTTTATTAGCACTTAAAAAGAAAGCCTGTTGGAACCAGGGCACATGAAGAGACAGCAGGGAAACAAAAATCAGACCATGCTGATTTATCATGTAGGGTTCCAGCAAAATAACACAAGACACAAGACTTAGTAATTTGAGGAGAGTTGTAAGAAATAGGTTATTTATAAAAGTGTGGGCAGGATTAAGGCAACCACAATGGACAAGTATAATGTTCAGGGCTAGTAACAGCAGCAGGGAGTCAAAGACGTTACCAGAAATCAGAGAGAGAATTGTGAGTAAAGAGAGTCACCTGGCAGGAGCTGGGTCAGTGTGTCCACACTGATGACCCCAGCAGAGAGGATGATGGAAAAAAAAGATCCCAAACTCACCTGCCAGTACTTCCCACTGGACACATTGCCAGAAGCCAGAGGTCAGGGGCCACCTAGATATGATCCATCCAGGTCAGCCAACAGGAGCAGAGGGTATAGTGGAGAGTGATCCAGAGGGCAAAGCAGAAACCCAGTACTATCACTGTATGAGAGAAGCTTGCGTGACTCATATGCGAAATGGACAGGAGGGACCTCCACCCCCTGCACTTTCCTGCACTTTCTGAGTTGTCCGGATGCTGACTTGAGTTAGGGCAAGAAGTGAGTCATCCCATTAGCCAGTAAGGTGTCCCCTAATGTTGGGTGTGAGAGAAAGGATACTCAGTCACTCCAATGATAGAAATCTAAAATGTCAGGACGTCATTTATAATCCTAAAGAGTCTGTGTTGCTCCCTAAGTTCCATTAATTTATGACAGACTTCAAGAGGAGAGTCCCCATAACCATAAATTAGTAGCATCCCTCTACATACCTGGACATTTGTAGAATTTGACCTTGTGCTTCAGAGGCTTTAGCAGTCTCCATGGTGCTCCCAAGTATAATTGCATTAGGCTAGTAGCAACTGCTTATAATTCCCTGGGGGAAATGAATGATGTTCTGTAACAAGGCTCTGCCTCAAGTGAAATCAATTAAAAATGAAATACATATAAGTGAAAGAAAGGAAGAGTTCTCTGTTCTCTCATTCTGAAACTTTGCGCTCATGGCTACTTCAGCATCCTGTTATGAGGAGGGGTCCTTTTTCTCGGTGATGGTTTGTACCAACTTTTTGCACAGTGGCTTAAGAAAATCCTGTGTGTTTTACTGCGGAGGCAGCAGGTAATGCTAAGCCTCAGAGAGCTGGTGGAACTTGGACTGTGACGGCAATTTCCCTTGCTTGAGAGGAACTCTCTGTTAGATAAGAAATTGAGCACTCCTTTCTCCTCTGCCATATGGTGCTGCGGTATCATTGAAATTCAAAAAGCCAAATTTCATAGCCTGAGAATTGCAGTTGGTAGACACTCCTAATCACTTTAGTGATATAAGTAGGTACAGAGAAGCATAATAATTTCCGTGAAAACCTTGCTTTCAGAATCTGATAAGAAAACCTCCAGACCTAATGTTTTCTATCTTCTGCATCAAAAGAAAGACTCAGAAAAAAAGACACCAAGGGAACAGGCTTAAGCAAATTGATACTATTAGCACAGTAACAAAAAATGCTATAGTGCTGACCAACTGTTTGGAACCCTTTAGAATGAGACCTATTACGGCAGGGTTCTCAAATCCACAGAAAGAAATCCATTAAGCTTTAATTCCCATAGATACTGTTAATGTTTAATAAAAGTCATAACTGAAAAAGAGGAGGTGAGTCTGAAGCCAAGTTATTTGATAGAAGAGTTTTTACTGAATAGCAAAAGAATTCCAAGAGGCATTTGCTAAAGATAAATAAATATATCTAGAGTAGGTAGGGCTGAATATTCCACTGTACGAGTACTAGTAGAGATTTATGTGCTGAAATATTTTTTAAATTTTAATAATACAAGAAGGCAAGTTCTAAGAAACACAAGCAGTTCCCTCTCCTTTAGGCTGAGAGGAAATGGAGCGTGCACATGCATAATCTGGCCCTTAGGAGAGCAAGGGGAAGACTCGGTTGCCATTCTGAGCAACTGTGAGAATGGAGAGCTTGAGAGGACAGAGATGCAAACATGCCCTCATAGGTTTGTTGGGAGAATTGTCCTTTCTGCACCTATCAAGATTTCTTTGGTTAAAAAGAAGAGGAGGAGGAGGGAAAGGAGTAAAGTTATTAGCTTCAGTAGGAGTAGTTTGGCTTCTGGTGCAGCTTAATCCAGAGGTTTAAAGATATCGTTGGAGTAAAATTTATTCTTTTCATCTTTCAGCATCACTCCTTCACAACAGGCTTTATTTTGAGCTCTCCTGGTAGAGATGCAGCAAAGGAAACTTCTCCTCTTCTCAGTGTTTTCTCTTGCTCCCCTTTAACAAATGTCTAACCTGTGGCTGGGCGTAAAGCCTCTTGGGATAAAGACTATGTTTCCCTGCCTCTACTGCAGTTAAGCAGAGCTATGTGACTTAAGTTCTGACCAATGAGCTATGAGGAGAAATTTCACGAGAAATTTCCAGAGAGTAGAAATTTCCAGAAAGAAGCAACCAGCTGGACCCATCAGATGGAGTCACACATCAAGTTTGATTGATAGAGGAAGAGAGACAGAAAGCAGACTTTGATGACAAGGAAGGCCCTATATACCTGAATTGCTGACCTCCAGACTTCACGTACATGAGACAAAATACATTTCTTTTTTTTTTTTTTTTGAAAGATTTATTTATTTATGCATACAAACCTGGGGTACAGGCCAGAGGTGCAGAGCAGGGGTGCGGGGGCGGTAAGAGAATTCACCAGATACAAGAGTTGGGAGCAGAACAGGCAGATCTACTGAAATACACTGCTGAGAGAGCAGCGGGTGGATCAGGAGAGGTCTGCTGTGCCAGGTGGGTCAGCTCCCTGGCTGGGATCAAACTCATGCTGCGGTGGCTGCAGTAGCTTCATAGTACTGGGCTTTTAACTCATTGTACCACCAGGGAGGGCCAAGACAAGATACATTTCTATGTTGTTTACATGATTGTAAAATTGGGCTTCCCTGTCATTTTAGAATTTGTTATTAGTTATTATCAAGTTAGTTATTATTAGTTATTATTAGTTATTTGTTATTATCAAGCACTAGTGCATGCTATACCTGCTTCTTCTCTGCTGCCCTAGAAAGTGTTTCATTTCAGCTTCTCAGTGCCTCTGTCTGAGTCATGGCCCATCCACTGTGGCCTGGAGCTCTGACATGTTAAACAGGAGCCAACTGGAACAGAGAGTCCTGGCCTCTCCATATGAGCTGCACAGACTGAGCATCAGGGCAATTTACCAGAAGGGAAGCACTGGTAAATGCAGAATGTCCAGTTCCTTCCCAAGTCAAATTTTTCACCCAATTTCCTGAATTCTATCAAAGATGCCATCATTCTCCTAGACCTACTTTATATATAATGTGTTACTTCTTGACATGGTCTCTTCTCTAACACCTCTAAATAAGAATAAAGATGCAGATACAAGACACACTTAATATTTGATAGCACAATGTTTAGAAGGAGAATAAATGACTTTATGCACCCACAGGTTCCTGAGAAAAGTGTTTTAATAACTGTTAAAAACATAATGGTTAAAAGTACACAAGTCAGAGCCCTCCCTGGTGGCGCAGCGAGTTAAAGCACAGCACTAAGAAGCTAAAGACACTTTAGCATAAGTTCAATCACCCCGGAGGTGATCCGCACGGTGCGGCAGACCTTTTCTGACCCACCCACTGCTCCCCTCAGCAGTGTACTTCATCAGTCAGCCTGTTCTGCTCCCCACTCTGTCTCTGATGAATCCTCTTACTGCCCTGCACCTCAGGCCTATACCCCTGTTCTGTATGCAAAAATAAATAAAAATCTTTAAAAAAGTACACAAATCAACAAAATAACTGATCAGTATTCTTTAAAAATGTCAAGGTTATGAAGGACAAGAAGACTGTCTAACAGTCACAGATTAGAGGAACCAAGGGGTCATAATAACTATGGAGCAGAATCTACGGTGGCCAGTCGTACTCCCAACCCCTGGGGTCCATGCACTCATGTGATCCCCTCCCCTTGACTGGTTTCTAACCAACAGAATCTGGCAATGGTAATGGGATGTCATTTCTGTGATGACACACTATATAAGACCAGTATTGGTGACTCACTCAAGAGATCTCTCTTCTAGTTGCCATTGAAGAAAAGGTCATTTGGGGAGGTTGCAGGGTGCTGAGGGCAGCCTCTCCCAGCAGAGTGACCTCCAGCCACCTGCAAGGAGAAACCAGTGTTCAGCCCTAAAGTTTCAAGGGGATGAATGCTGCCGACACCTCTGTAAACTTGGAGCTGGACTCTTTCCTGTATAGCTTCCAAATGAGCCTGCAGCACAGCTGACGCCTTCATTACTGCCTCAGAGACCCTGAACAGAGGCTCAACAAAGCGGTGCCCAGAATCCTAACTCAGAGAAACTCTGAGATAATTAATATGTGTTGTTTTGCCACTAAGTACGTGGCAATTTGTTATGCAGCAATAGATAACAGTCCTAACCAGCTTGAGCTACCATAAAAAAACACAATCAATTTGGGCAGCTAATCAACAGTAGAAATTTATTTCTTACAGTTCTGGGGACACAGATTCTGGTGAAAGCATTTTCCTTGTTGTAGATGACTAGTTGTAACCTCGCATGGTAGAAAGTGAGGAAGTTAGCTCCCTGGTCTGTTCTTACCACCCCATAAATAAGGGCTATTAGCTTGTGACCTAATTACTTCCTAGTAATGGCATCTCCAAATACCACCACATTGGGGGTTAGATTTCAACAGAAGAATTTGGGGCCAGCACATTCAGTTCATAATAATACCTAATACAACAATGAAATACATGTGGCATCCTTAAAAAGGACATGAGTGGGAAAGCAAGTGAAATCCAAATGAAGTGTGTGCTTTGATTAACAGTCATGTGGCAAGGTCAATTTTTTAACTTTAATCTTGCACTGTGGTTCTGTGAGATGCTGGCATCAAGGGAAGCTGCGTAGCATATGGATGAACTCTCTACTGTATCGCAAGAATAAAAGCTAAAAATAAATACAAATAAACTTCAAAGTACACAAATCAGCTCTTTGTGTTTTCACAATAGTGTGAAAATAACAAGGCATTCGTGAAGGTTGAAAAGAAAACTTGGAACAATTTGACACTCCATTTAGCTGTCTGGTACCCAGCTTTCCTGCTTTCCCAAGCTTGTCCGCTCCTGTCAACACTTGAGCAACATCTCTTCCCTTGACACAAATTTCCTTTTTTCAGTCCTTTTACATCTCACAGCTATAGTCAGTTGTGGTCTCATTCTTGGTTACTGCAATTATTTGATAATAGTGTTTATATAAAAGAGCTTTCCCCTCCTTTCCGTACAACCTAGGACTCTGCCTTCCATCTCTCCAGCAGCTTCTCCCATACCCATATCACTTTCTTCTTCCATAGCGCTTTCTCCCCCTTTCACCATTTCATCCTCACACAATACAATTTAAGAAGGGTTGAACAGAAACCACCAGGAACCACCCTGTAAGAGAAACTGGGGAGCCTGT